TATCAGAAGTTGTTAGTTTTTTTAATTTCGCTTATTCTGACATGAATCCTTAAATACTAATCAGAATGTGACTTGTGGTCTCTTGCTGGTGTGATTGCCGTTGAAGTTTTGGGTGGTCCGAAAATCCCATGGAAATTTGGTCGTAAAGATGCTAAGGATGGTATTAATCGTGAACAACATATTCCCGGAATCAGTTCTGGGCCGGATGGCATTCATACTGATTTTGGACCATTAGGACTTACTGAACGGTGAGTTAGAGATATGTACGAATTATCATAATAATATATGAGTTTTCACACGTCCAATCTGTTTGAAAAGTGATATAGTAGCTCTCATTGGAGCCCATACTGTCGGTCGTTCTCACCAGAAATTTGAGAATGGTGAAGGCAAATGGACTGAACAAAATAATCGATTTACCAATCAATTGTAAGTATTTTTCAATAAAGTTTTCAACCTTCAAATCGTTATATTAATACCTATTAACAATTAAATATTTTAATAAAGTTATGTAAATCTGGAGAAAACAAGTAATAAGTTGGCAAGCGTAAATTTAGCCTCAAAAAATTCTTTTTCCCAAGGATCACCTGATATGATTATGCTTGCTTCTGACCTCGCATTATTTCGCGATCCAAAATTTAAAGAGATAGCCAAAGAATATGCTAGAAATCAAAAAGTATTTTTCGATGATTTTGCCGAGGCTTTTGGAAAATTATTGAGTCGTAGTCTTCCGTAAGGGTCGGGTTTAAGGAATACTCGAATTCGATTCCCGATCATTGTTCGACTCGGATTCGACTCGACCCGATTATTGTTTAACCCGGACTCGACTCGAAATCTCAGGGGTTGCTTTATGCTAGCTTAATGGACTGTGGTTTAATATATAGAAAAAAAATTTTAAGAAAATAACGCAGAATGCGGTTTTATTTTAAAATACTTACCACAAATTACATTTATTTTATTACTTTTTAAATTTATTTATTTTTAATATTTTTTTTATAAACAAGAAAAATAAAGAATTATTTATTTTCTTCTTTAAGATAATTAAGATAATTCAAAGTAATTTACATATTTTATTTTTTAAATATTTCAAAAATTTTCTTTTATATACAGTGTAATTAATAAAATATTGGAGTAGGAGTAACAAAATAAAAATAAAACAATGAAAGCATTTATTCTAACAGAAACCATCCTATTTCGAAGAGGAATCTAAAGAAAAAGAAAGGGGCGCAAGATTTTATAAAAATCATCAATTGCTGCGCCTGAGCCACCCGCAGAGTGTCATTTCAAAAAAAGCTGTAATTGAATTTGTTGGTTAAATTCCAAAAAAGTAGTAAACAATAAACTTTTACATATTAGGTTAAGCAAAACGGTGAGAAGCTTTTCAGAATTTTTTTTATATTTATAAATATTTTATATTAATGCCGTAAATAAAAAAGTGTTATATAATGTTTATTTTATTTTTAAAATTTATTAATTTTTTTTTTTTACATCTTTTTCCACCGAATTGTATTAGCTTTAAGAACACTTCTTTTGGTCGATATCAGATCGGTTCCACCAGAATAAACTTGTTCTACTAAAACACTTGTTGCTTTATAAAAAAAATGTATTAGTTAATGTTTGATAAATGATAATTTTTTTTACCTGTAATTGTTCACTCCGCAATGTTTTTCGTTTTCTAGAAGAAGTTATACTATCGGTAACGTCGATAGGCCTACTTATTATTTATTTGTTACAAATTAAAATCGCGTAAAAAAAAGTTTAGCGCGTCAATTTATATTGATATTGTTTAAATCAGATCATCCAGGTCACCAGGGTCGACCCGGGTCGACTCGGGTCAAGCAAAAACGAGACCCTGACCCGGCGGTTTTTTTGAATTAGGACTCGTGTCATAAAAATGATAGTCCCGACTCGAGAAAAAATTCGAGTCGGGTCAAAAAACCTGGGCCACTAGTCTTAATCAATCGGATGGTGAGATAAAACCATGAATAATTTATTATTGAATTATATTTTAATATTGAAACGGATCCTTTTTATTTTTAATCAAGGTTCTTCCAGTTCTCAATTGAAAGGCCAAAACAACATATTATACACACAAGGATCATTTGAGCCAAGTTTGTCAACAGCACAATTAACATTCTCAGCTAATGACCCTGGAAATTTGTCTTTCTCTGTCATTGGTAAAGGGAGGACAGCATAGGCCCCTACGAAATCAATGGCTTGTTTGTTCCATTATCGAGAACTATTACTTTTACTAAGATCTACACAAACCGCAATGATTTATCCTGGATCTATCGAGGTCAATACAATCAGGAACTTTTTTTTGGAAAATAGGGCACTAATGAACAACCGAATCTTGGAAATTTTATTATTAAACGGGTTGCTGAAGTTGAAAAGTCACTAACAGGGGATTGGCGTGGATATTACTTTTACAAAATTAATGACGAAAGTGATCGAATGTTAATTAATTTGAACTTTACCGGGATGGGTCTGGCTCAGATGGAGTTGAAAGGTTTGAAATTAATGGACATATATTAGTTGATGGTTTGGTTATTTTCGATAAAAAATACCCCCGGTACTCCGTGAACCATCGCGGACGGAGGATAGGAAGCGAGATATGGGGAGAATGGAATATTATTGGAACACCTGATCGTGGGGTTTTCTTGATATGGAGCTTGAGCATGAGCACTCCACAGACAGATCCGAACTCGGTATATTAGGTAAATTAAAATTTTTTTATATACCGATCAATAAAAAGTCTGTAAGAAAAGGTTATAATTTTATTAGTATAAATTTTATGGTGCACTCTGACCACATTAGTAGTGTTCATTACAGAGGTTTATCCTTAAAAGAAAATTGCATGCAATTTTGCATGCAATTTTCAGCATTATTTAATTATTTATTTATGTTACAGAAATTATTTTTTAGTTGTCCAATTTTTAAATGGGAATTTTTAAACTTTAAACTTAATTCACAAAGTACAAAACCATGAGATTAATCGAAAAATTGTTTTTATTTTGTATCTTTTATCGCGCCTCTATATACATTTTTGAAAAAAATGTTATCATTATGCCAGGTAATTTCGAAAAACCCACACCACATATGTCCAGCATAGCGGACTTGCTTATATCACCATGTCGATCATTTGTCATAAATTTTTTTTATAATACTTAAAAAAATAAGAAAGAAAAAAGTCCATTTTTGCAAATATGCGAAGTATGTACGAAACTTTACAATCATCTTGACAGTTCGTTTGTTTATTTACCTTTAAAGTTAATCTGGTATAATCAGATTCAATAAGAAGTTTTATTATACCGTTATTTTTCAAAAATAGGAATTTTTATATTCAACTAAATTCTACTTATACTATTTGAAACTAAAGCTGAACGTATATTTGGCCTTTCATGTTATACTTGGTTGAAAACAAATTAGATTGACCTATCAGCGTCATACTTCAATCGAACACTTAAAAGCATAATTCTTGAAGTTTGCATATAAGATTCGTCGTATTTATTTTTTTATTCACCAATTATCAATTTCGCTAATTCTGTTAAGCAAATCTAATTCTAAGAATTCCTGTTCATTTAACTGTATCACTTCTACATTAACATTATCTCATTACTTTGTTCTTTATCATCCAAATTCTCATAAAATTTTTTTCTGAATTTAAACCTGTTAAAATGCATTACTGCTTTGCATAGTGATTATGATAGTGGTGTTTAACATTTTTCCATATGCCGTTTTTGTAGTAATTTAAACAATGTCTACACTTTTTCCATCCCATTATAGCATTCTAGGTGAAATCCGTATCCGCATATTAGAATAATTGTTTGATCATTTATAGTTAATGGTTTATAATAATGATCACAATTATTTAATAAGGGAGGGAATAATATACTATATCCAGTCGGCATACTTGTTATATTTATTTTACCCAGAGTAGAAAGAACATATGAAATAGGTAAGTTTTTTTTTTCGTCATTTTTAGTGGAGATGAAATTTGATTACTAATTAAAATAGTAATAGTTTCTTCATTTTTTAATAAATTTCTTGTAATTGAATTGTAAAATAAGAAAAATACAGGTTTAGTAGTCAAAAATTTCAGGTCTCGTGGTGAATATGGATACCTTTTATAGTTGAAAACATCTCACGGAACGTGGAATATTTTGAAAATCTAAAAAATTAAACCTGTTTTTGTATATTATTAGCAGCATCTTTTAAAGATGTTGTAGCTCCTACTATGCATATTTTCTATCCAGTAATCATTAAACTGAAATAAATTTTCTTTAATTGCTTCTCTTATAGGATGTCCAATTTTTTTTCCAATAAAACAAATCTGATAAAAATGCTAATAGAGCTTTGTTGTAATTTTTGTGATGCAATCGCAAAGCAAAGATCCATATACAAAAAATTGTTTCTACATAATTATCAAATGATCCAGATTGAAATAATAAAGCATATTATATCGAAGGAAGCTGATATGATTTTGTTTAACAGTTCTATAATAATTTGATACTCAATATTTTTTGTAAAAATATAAATTTTTTACAATATGTTCTTTAATTTCAATCCATGCAGTAAATACTAACTCAAGCAGAAGATTTGTTCTCTATAGTCTAGGTTTTTTGGTTAAAATTTTCATTTTTCAAATATAAATGAAAGAGCTTTTCAAAAAATAGGTCATAAATTTTATTACCTACTTTTTTATATTAAGTATAATGTGTAAAGGCCTAAGTAAAGAAAAAAGTTACTATTACTTTTAGTATTGAAGTCTTATTTTTTATGAAAATGATTAAGTGCTTGATAAATATAATGTTATCCTAACCAGTCTGATGATTAATGTTACATTATAACCTATTTCTTTATTATAATCTAATATAATATTAAGTCCATTTAGGTAATATTACATAGAATATAGTTTTGTTCCTTTACTTCTATTAAAATTGCTTTTTTATTTTACACTCTTTTTTTCGTTTCTCAATAGCATTATTATAAAAATAGATTGAAAGTTAATTAATTCTATCAAAGTTTGAGAAAGATTAAATATTCCATTGAATTAACTATATGAATATAATAAATTAAAGCAATACTGTTATTGATTAATAAATCTTTCACAAATAATAAAAGCACTAATATTATTAGAATTATAACAGATTTATTATTAAATACAATTAGTACAGATTTTGATTTTTCAACCTTTTTACATATACATATCACTAAATAAACTATGTTTGAAAGAGATGTATTATCTATATATCAATTTTCTTAGATATTATAATAATCATCTAAATTGTATATGTAAAAATAGTTTTTATTTTCATTAAAATAATTTTTTATCTAATTACTATTTGATAGGTAATTGAAATTTTAATATTACTGAATATATTAATTGTATTATAACTTACTCTAGATTTTGCAAGATACAAAATAAGTTTTAGTTTAAAATTATTTACTTATTTATTATATATTCTAGCCATTAAATATAAAATAGCAATAATTTTTTTATCTTTTTTTTATTATAAAATAAACAATTTTGTAGTATTAATATAACATACATATTAGAAAAAAAATTTAAAATCTAAATCAGTTTTATAAATATTTTATCAAATTTATTAGAATCAAGTATCATATTATTATGACTTTTGTATATAATACACTTATCATTTATTCAGATTATTAAATGATAATTTAATTGGTAATATTAAAATAAATTGTTTTTTATAAGATTCATTTTATGCAGATAATTGATTTTTAACTATAGTCATATAATGAAAATTACAAATTTGATAATTAGATTGCAAATAAGGATATAATCAAAATTTTTCTTTAATAGATGCTTTTTTTATAATAAATTAGATAAATATTGAAAATTTTTAGAATTTTTATCACAATTATAAATAGAATAAAGACCAAAATTAATTTTATTTTTAGCATTTTATTGCATAAATCTTTTTAAAATTTATAATTAACACATTTATTATATAATTTAAACATATTAATTTATTTAATTTCTTATTTAAATAAATTAGTTTATAATACAAATATATACATATTATTTTATTAATATATTAATTATTAAAATAAAAACTATTCTAATATAATTAAATATTTTTTATAATAAATACATATAAAAATCTATATAAATTTCATATATATCTTAATACTTTTTTTAAAAATTTAATAAAATATAAAAAATATATATTTTAAAATTATATTGGAAAAATGATAATAAATATACATACTTATAGAGATTTTTTAGTATTTTATTAAAAATTTATTTATAATATGAACTAATTAAAATTTAATTTTAACTTTAACCAATTAAATAAAATCAAATTTTTATTTAATCAAATGAATTTTAATTATACTTAAAATTAGCTGATCTTGAATTAAAAGTTTTAAATAACATAACATATACTTAAGTAAATAATAAATTTAATATTTAAATTATGTAAAATAAGATTTTAAAATAGTAAATTAAAGATTAAATATTATAAATAAGTTAGCTTAAAGTTAAAATAAATAATTAAATAAATTATATAATAAATTGATTTTTTTAGATTTTAAAAATTTAGGCAAAGTTATAAATACGTAACAAACTATATTGATCATAATATTTGATATTTTAAATTAAAATAATATAACATAAAAGTTAGCTTTGAGTTAACTTTTTAAATATTTCATATATAAATCATATGTTATGATAAAATATTAATAATTTAGACTTCAAAGATTTAAGCTAAATTAACTAACTATTATATTTGATATATAGATTATTATTTATAATATTTCAATCAAAGCTAATTAATATAAAAATACATTAATTTAACACTTTTTTTATATAATTATAAAATGATACTTTTAGTAAAACTTACTATACTAAAATCCTATATTTTTAAATAATAGCTAAATCATATTATTATCATGTTATCAATCCATTGTTATTTGCATTATTATTGAATGTAATACTATGCATTGTAGAAATATAACACTTTATAGTCACCATATTGATTTAATCTATTGTAACATTGAATACACATTGATGTATATAGTCATAATGTATATTAAATTATTGTAATCATATGATTTTTTTATTAATATAAAGTTTTAGTTACATTATTATTAATATATAATAAATTCGTAAAATCTGATTTAACTATTAATATTGTAAATAAAAAAATCTTTAAATGATAAAATTAACAATAATAGTATTTTAATTCAAAATAATGAAATAATGACTTATATCTTACATATACAGTAGAAACTACATGAAAGTCTTATAAAATTTTGTAAAGTTTACGATAATTTCTTTATTTTCTTAATACTTATTAAATTTAATTATTTTTACTTGCGTTAACTGTTATAATTGAAACTGAATTAAAGAAAGTAATTATTGGTAAAGAACTAAAAGATAATATTATTAATGACTTTTTTGTTTACTTTTTGCTAAAAATGACGTTTAACTATAAATAAATATGAGAACAGTATTATCGAAAGCTAAGACAAATAATGTATCTTTTAAATCATCATATAATTTTTCTTTTGTAGTATTTTCTATTTCTGTATTTAAAGTGAACTCAAATAAAAAAATTAATAAAACCAAAAAAAAATTGTTATAAGTAATATTGAGTATATATCACTAATGCATATATTGTTTCTAAGATGTTACATTTATTACAGTTATTATAGAACTTTGCATTCTATTTTAAAAATAACTAAT